AAGTACATAAATAAATTTAGTTTTAAAAAAGAGGCTTAGGCTTAGAAGCCACAGTGGCACATGCCTACAACTCCAGTACTTCAAGGCTGAAGCAGGAGGGTCTTGAGTTCACGGCTAGCCTAGGCTACACAGTAAGTGCCACACCTGCCTCTAAAACTGAACCTAAACTGAAAGGGCAAGAAGCACCTACAAGAAAGATGGTTCTGGAAGAGCAGTAGATGCTACGAATATGGGCTGTCATGAGCAGTGGTAAAGGACACCACCACCACCAAACTCACAGCCAAGTAACTCGGGTAACATTTTATTTGGCTAAAAACGGGCGTAAAAGATTGGCATTTCTGGAATACCTCATTTATTTATTTATTTATTTATTTATTTATTTGAAGAGGGAAGTTGGGGTAGAGAGGTTGTGTAGCTGCATAAGGTCATACAACCAGTATGTAAAAAGCTGGTATTCACACTGGCTGTTCACCTGGCAAGGATGGACAAGAGCAGCCCTAAATTTTCAACTTAAGATGTTTTGTTGAATGTTTTCCTATAAAGGAACTAAACCGACGGAGGCACGGAACTTAGAGGAATAGCATAGAATTTTTGATGACAGAATGAGGATTCAAAAATATCTCAATAGACCCAGATGAGGAGTTAAAAATAACACTACATTCAATGGGTCTATGTTTAAAAGTTACCACAAACTGCAAAGAAAAAGATGCTTTTACCCTTGTTCCCCCTGAAGCCTCCACTATCCTCTGCAGCCAATCAGTGACCTGGCATCACAAAATGTTACCTGTTCCTCCTCCTCTCCAGTTCCCTCACCTCATCCCGACCTAACAAGCACTCCCCATCGCTCTTCCTTTTCTCTCTCCAATCCAGCTAGGCACAAACGCAGAAAAGTCTCCACAGGGCAGCTCTCTGGACCTGGTCCCCCTCACACCTTCCCTGGCTGGCTCCTTACTGCCGAACTCTGAAACAGGAGCCCCGGAGCCTGCATGAGAGCCCCTAACGTCACCCACACTCACTCGCTTGCTCTTCCTTTCCTAGGCCTCCTAGCCTCCTGGATGTTGCTGCAGCTCCTTCCTAGCCTTCTTAAGCTGCTCTGTGTCAGTCACCCTCATTCCTCATCAAACAGTCCACATCCTTCTCCAATCCTCCCCTGCTGTCGTCAGTCATGTATTCCTATGGCATGGCTCCTCTCTGTTTTACTGTATTTCCTCTCACAACTTGATGCTGTGGGCATATACATTGTTTCTTTACCACCTGCCGCTCTTTCTCTCTCGCCTTTCCCTAGACTATAAGGGTCCTTACAGGTAGAGTCTGTGGACTGGTTAGCTCTTCACACACGGAGGGGCAGGCCAGGCTGGTGGATGCTTAGTGAAGCTCTGTCCAATGCAATGATAAGATACAAAAGGAACGGGGTTTAGCCTTGGCTCCTAAGGAGGCATGCGATAGTGCTGTCCTAGTATGCAGAGCACACCTGGAAAACAGTCCAGGCTTGGGGGAGTCCTTTTTAAGATGGATACTATCAGGCTAATGACAATGGAGAAGGGTGACAGGATGAAGTCCAGTCTAGCGGAGAAAACAACATTAAAAAAAACAACAACACAATGAACCACAACAACTATCTTCACAAAAACATAAGGAATAAAAATGATTTTACTCTAATAAAAAGTAGTGGACTTTGAGTATGTGTTCTCAAAAGGAATTGTAGGACCCTGGTCTCTGGATGATTCTCTGCTTCTTGGATCATGATGCAAATTGTTGGCTTCACTGGGCACTTCTGTTTTGATAGAAAATTCTTTGTCAGAGGCTCACAGCATTGAGACCATGATACCTTGGACCGGAACCACCAGAAGGGAGCCATTTACTATGTGGATTAATTGGCCAAATTATTGCATTATAGTAATACAATCCTGACTAATGCACAATGGCTTCTAATCACTTCACATGTCGAAAGTAAATGATGAATAGGTGCCAAGTTCTAGGAACTTAAACCTTTTCTGTCAAAATCATTAAAGCAACAAATTCTGCCTATCAGTAGAATTTAGATTCAAGAGACAATTATTTTATTATGGGTTATTTATTATAGTTTAATTATAAGTAATATTCATTGATATTATTATTGGTGAGAAATTAATTGGTTTCCATAATCAGATATATGAATATTTTTTAAAAACTTTAAATTTAATGGTGTTCCATATAAATATAAAATAAATGACAATGTTATTAAAGTCTAATTTTAAAATGTTTTCACTGTTTAAAATGGAAGTTTCAATTTTTAAAACATTCTTAAATTCTCATTTAATAGGAGACATGCTGGTACAACCATTTTTTAATTTATTTTAAAACACCTGAAATTGAACACCCATGAAATGGCCAGAAGGTCCAATTTCAAACAAATATGTCAGGTCAGTGGGTTGAACAATTTGTATACCCAATAAAACAATTTGTAAAGACTATAGTCTCTCTGCATATTAAAGCTGATATATAGTTGTTTTGGGCATAAATTTAAATACTTGCAAAACTCAGGACTTTTGACATATCATAAATACATTTGTAAAATAAAAATCACTATTTTAAGTGTTCTTAAAGTCTAGAAACAAAAATATCACATGCTCTCTTTTAGATGCAGAATCTTTGCAATTCAAATTCTGAGAAGTAGAGAGTAAAAAAAGTCGTTATTTTGGGTTGTGTGAGGTGGGAAAAGGGCGTGTTGGGTCAAGAACACAATCTCCATTAAATGCAACCTGAATTTAAAAAATGACTATGTGTGGTGGCATGTGCCTTTAATCCCAACACTCTGGGCACAGAAGCAGACAGATTCCTGAGTATGAGGCCAGAGTGAGTTCCAGGCCAGCCAGACTACATAGAGAAACCCTGTGTTGAAAACCAAACCAAACCAACCAACCAAACAAACAAACAAAGCCCCCAAAATTTCCTCAGAAGATTTTCGTCACACACATAAAGTCTTGTATCTAACATTTCTATCTAGGGAGAGAGGACAATAACTGTGACAGTCTAATCTTCAACCTCATCAGAGACCTGAGAAGGAGGATAACAATACTAGGGTAGGCAGGAAGTGCAGGCGAGCATCTTCAAAAGGTGCAGCACAGACAGAAACAGCAGGCTACTGGGCGGTCACGTAGAGTCTCACGGAAGCATAGGGCAACCAGCTTTGGCTAAGGCCTAGAGTATCTGACTGACCAACACAGAAGCAGGGAGGTAGAAAGGCTGTCTTGGACTTGGCAAGGTTCAACAGTCTTTTAAGTGTATCTCCTGCAAGCACAGTAAGACAGCCTGTCCAAAGCCAGTGGTTGAGGTGGGGGTAGTTCTTTGCACAAGAGGCCATATCATAGATTGATTTAATCATTACATATTTAAACACTGAAACATCTCATTGTCTAAGTAGATTCAATTACTACTTTTCAAGGGAAAATTAAAAAAAAATGTAGTTAATGGAATCTCAATCTCGCAGGGGTTTAAATTCTCCCATTGTATATTTGTAATATATAATACATTCTCTTCTTATGGACCCTTTTTTCCTTTCTTCTTGAATACCAGTTATAGTTTATTTCTTCGCTAAGTTTTAGTGTAATAGAGTACATTTTTAGTTTGAAACATCTGCTTATTATGTTGTAATTTTTGGCAAAGCAAATTTGTGTAAGCTCAAGTTTTAAAATAGGTATTTATATTTTCTGTTACCACAAGAATAAGTTTTAATATTTTTTGAATTACCATGATAATTATTTAGTATCTAACTGAATATAAAAATATTACTAGTGGATGACTTTAACCTATTCTGTTGACAGTTTGATGAATAGAAAAAGTAAATATTGTTGGGAGCACAACTCAATGGGATTAGGGCTTTTTAAAATTTAATTGAGCTAAGACAATTGATAAATAATACTTCCTGCTGGAATGAGGGAGGCTTGCATTCATGTATATGATGTAATTCTTTCAGATTACTTCTTTAATTCCTGACTCATACAGAAATACTCTCAGAATATCTAAATGTTCAAATCTTATCTTCTCAGACCCTCTGTTACTTGGTGTCACTCTGCCTAGGAAACATTGTCTCCTACTATTTTCCACTTAGGCAATCCTTATTGTCCCTCCAAATACAAGGCCATTATGTTAGTATCCTCTCCTTTACTGCAATAAATGCCTTTATGATTCTCTCCACTTCTATGAATATCATCTGTCTAGCATGTCACCTTCTGCAAAATCATTCCTGTCTGTAATCACCTTTTCTGTGTGTTTTCACAGAGATTATGATTATTCACTGTACTGTCCCTTTCTATCCCTAATTAAATATCACATACAATTTAGTATTTTATTATACATTCTCTTTTTCTGTAATTGATTCAAGTCTTGTCAGCCAGGCTATAACTTATTCCTATTATTAGTTTTCTATGTGAAATGCTATGATCCTTCTATGAGCATCAGATAATGTGAAATGTTGTGATCCTTCTATGAGCATCAGATAATTTGATAAACCCATGAAAAAAGAAATCTGAGGTCTAACTAACAGGTCAGGTTCATAACTCTGTTTGTCTGTCTTCAACTGATGCTGAAACAGGTTTAGTTGTTCTTTTCTGACAGTAGGAGGGCTTCACATCAATGCCAGCAGGAATGTACTTGTAGGAATGAGAAACTATATACTAGAATATTAGGGGTTTTAAATCACGCTATTATCCGGATCTTTTCACTCACCAAGTGGAATTATCAAGACCTGAAGTTTCCTTGAGGAAGCCACACTTGTAGTTCTAGGTTTCTATGAAAACCTGGGCTGACCCCCAAGATGAGCCATTATAACCATCTTAAGTGCCTCTGGTCACTTGTTCTTTTCATTTCCTTTGTCAGTGTGACTGTGCAGAGACCTAAGAGATTGTCTCTACGGTTCTCCTTGTCAGGCCTGCTGACAAACTCAGGCGAGTAGGCAAGGAAGGCCGTGTTGCCATCATTATCAGGCTTCACACTGGGCCAGCATCGCCCTAGAGCTCTACCTGTAGGCTGTGGAGCAGGTGTCCTTGTACTCCTGTAGCTTCACACACACCATGTGGAGGAACTGATCTGAATATGCACTCAAGTCATGCATCAGGTTCATGAGGTCTTGCACTGTCTTCTCCACAATGATTGTGCTCTGGAAACGAACAAAAAAGAGAGGACACAGAAACTCATGAGACAATGTACAGGATAAGCAAGAACAACTGAAAGGATAAGATCGCTTGGGGTACTTGCGCTTCCTGTAGGATGAGGCACATAAAAACATGAATTAAAATCAACAACCAAATAAGCACATCACACAACACTAGTCTTTCAAAGACCTGAAAGGTCTGTTCCCAGGAATGGCACAGAATAGGGATTTTCAAAGGGTTTTGTGGACTTCATGGGATCTATAAGATGTCTCTATATCTGTTTTTTATTGTTTAAAATGGTGCTGGGGGTGGAAACCAGGACTTTGCACTCTATCCCTAAGCTATATCCCCATTCCTTGCTGTTTTTTGTTTGTTTGTTTGTTTTACGGGTCAGGGTTTCTCTGTGTTGCTCTGGCTGTCCCAGAACTTCCTCTGTAGCTCAGGCTGGCCTCGAACTCACAGAGATCCCACTTGCCTCTGCCTCCCAAGTGCAGGGACTAAAGGCATGCGCCACCACCACCTAGCTCCCTTGCTGTTTTAAGACTAGGTTTTGCTATGAAGCTCAGGTGGGTCTTGAACTCATGATATAGCTCAGAATGGCTTAAATTCCTGATCCTCATGTCTTCATTTCCCAAGGGCTGGGATTATAGGCTTCTATCATCACTATTGGAATCTCTGTGGGGTTTTAAGGAAGAGCATTCAGCCAGGCTTTGGTGGCGCACGCCTTTAATCCCAGCACTTGGGAAGCAGAGGCAGGCGGATCTCTGTGAGTTCAAGGCCAGCCTGGTCTACAGAGCAAGTTCCAGGACAGCCTCTAAAACAATACAGAGAAACCCTGTCTCAAAAAACAAAAAAACAACAAAAAAAGAGCATTCATAGTCAATGGAAACCTTATTTAACAGCTTTACTTAGAGTGAAGGCCCACTACAGGCAGCACAAAGAAAAAGGCTTCTGTTATTTGTTTTAAATTTAGAAACTATCATTGTATTAAGAATAACAAGTAATATTTGAGTTATAGCTTACAGCTTGCAGGGTGTTGGTAACATGTTTTGAATCACTTGAAAGTCATATAATAATCATGGTTATAATGAATGTTTACAGGGTTCTTATAAGTACAGTACACAACACTAGGCACTCTACTTGCTTTAACTTATTTAACCCTTTCACTACCCCTGTAATTACTGTCAGTGAAAACAGCAGTCAACAGGATGTGAAAGACCAAACAAAAAAGCAACAGCTCTAGGGTCTACTCCTTTTTCTGTCCCATTCTGATTTAACATTGGTCCTGAGTTCTGTCCACAGCCCATTATTTTTTCACAAGTTCACAGTGTTTCATATTTATTCCTGTTACTAGAACAATCACGTAGTCTTCCTGAGAGAAAGGCTACCTGGCTCACAGTTTGGAGGTTTCAATCCATAACTTCCTAGCTGGATTGTTTGGGGCCTGTGCTGAGGCAGCACACAATGGTAGAGTCACGAGGTGGAACTATACTGCTCAAGGCATGCTGGAGCCTAGGAGGGGAGAATGGAGCTGACTCCAGTCTCCTCCAAGGCCACGCCCGAGTGGCCTGAAGACTGCCCACTATACCCCACTCTTAGAGCTTCAGCAGCGGCCCAATAGCTCTTCTCATGGTCTAAGCCTTTAACACATAGGTTCATGAGGGCAAGTGCAGAGCCAAACAATAGCATTATTGTCAGCACTGTTGAAGAAGGAAGGGCCCACATAGACTTAAGACTTTAAAATTGAACCAAAGAACTTCCAAAAAGAAAAATAATAAGACCATCTTAAAGCTAGGGCATTATGCAACAAAGTAGTGCTACTTTTGAAAAGAGGAACATTCAATAAACTCTGAATCTTTGGGTATGAGTTACAGTTGTATGCTTATTTGAGATGATTTGGTGTTATAGGCTTCTGCCTACTATGCCTTCCTCTCCCCTCCCCAGTCCCACTGAAATAATCAGGAGGAGAGAAGAAAGGAGCATTGTACTGTGTAAGGCAGACCTCACAGGAAACCAAATTACAATCTCTATAGAATCCTCGCAAGTTCCACTTCCTTCTCTGTATTGATTTTGAGATTAAAGCACTGCAGCTTCACCCTGATCTATAATCCCATTCCTCTGTATTTGTGTGTGACTGACAGGAATTGATTCTTCCCCGCTACATGTCCCCACGTTAAGCATCTAAAATCCTCATCCCAATTCAGAACACAGGATATCCTCTAAAATGTGGACAGCAATTAGTAAAGCAGAGGAGCTCAGCACTCCTCACAAAGCCTGCTTCAATTCAAAAGCATTGCAAGATGAACATGGGGAGATTACTCTGATCATTAGGAGAAGGCCTGGTTCTATCCTCAATTACACGACTGGTAATCAGCTCTGGGGTAGCATGGGTAGCCCTTCCTTTATTATGACTCAATTTAGTCCACTAATAACAAGGATAATGTGATTGCTCCTTTATTGGTCCCGATGACTCATGTACTCAATCTGTGCACTGGTGCTTTGACACTGGCTGAATTAGTGTGTAATGGTTCTAAAGCTTTCGCAGGTGTCCCAACTAGATTATCAGCTTCTTAGAAGTGACCATCATGTCCCTTTCCTTTTGTTCATCTCCCACACTTCCTTCCACTTGCTCAACACATGTCAGGGTCTTCAGAGCTAATAAAAGAGTGCTCACACAGAAAATGTAAAAACTTCTCATTGAAGGTCGCACAGGCACCTGCATTTTACAGTCTCTTTCGGTGAGGGAGGTTTGCTCTGGATCTACCACAGTGCTTTGGGGTAATAAGAATGGAACTGACAGAATTTGGAGGCGAAAGGATGACTGAATAGTCTCTGGAGGTCGAGGTTTTGGAGCTGAGCAGGAAGCATGAGCATGGACTAAGTAGGAAGGCGTGATTTAATTCCGATGGCAGTGCTTGACATGGCACCTATGTAATGCTCTATGATTCTATACAATTTCCCAGCTCTTTGGCTGGTTTACCTTGTCACCACAGCACTCTGGATAATCAATCACTGCGTTCTCTTCAAGGAAAATAAAACTGCACTCTGCACAATCATAGGGACTTTTATGGGAAAAAAGGTCTACCATTTCAAGAAGTTACAACAGTTTCCAAATCAGTGACTCTGACAGATAAATGCTGGGAACATTATTTCAACAAGGTCAATCCTGTTTTTATTTGTTTCATTTTTTTAGTATAACCACTGATTTACTGGCTCATTAATTTAGAAGTTTGCCATTGTGAGTATAAAGTGATTTTATTCATTATAATTCCCATTAAACACATCTGAAATGATATATATTTGTTTAGGAGCAACTAAGTTCACATTCCTTACAACTTATTAGGTAATGAAGTATGAATGTGACTAAGAAAAAAAACTGAGGAAAAAAATCCCCAGATGGCAATGAATGCAATGAAAAACTTCTAAAAAAAAAAAACAACTAGAAACAAAAATAACTGAAGTTTATTACTATGATGCAAGAGTATTCCAAAATGGAAGTGGGCACATAAAAACAAGCAATTTGGCTCCGCACTGGAAAAAAATTACAGAGTTAAGGTGTAACGCAATGGCAGAGCACTTGCCGCATGAAAGGTGGTCCTAGAATTGATCCTCAGCACTGTAAAATAAATAAAAAAAGCTATGAATGGAGATGATTTTTTTTGAGACCCAGACTACTGTCGTAAAAATTTGGCTCCAAAAAATGATACTAATATTACTATTACAGAAAATTGGAACCATGTGCTTTGGGAAATGGTTACATAAAGAGAACTGAAGTTGTTTCTTTACTGGGAGACTTGAAAGCCTTCATAATACTAATGCTATCATGAATCTTCAGGGGATGACTATAGTATTCTAATTAATGGCCTTAAAAAAAAACCCTTACAAAACAAAAACCATGTCATAGCCCATCCCTTTTTTTTGTTTGTGTGTGTATGTGTGTTTTTTTTTTTCCGAGACAGGGTTGCTCTGTATTGTTTTGGAGGCTGTCCTGGAACTCACTCTGTAGACCAGGCTGTTCTTGACCTCACAGAGATCCACCTGCCTCTGCCTCCCGAGTGCTGGGATTAAAGGTGTGCACCACCAACGCCCTGCCCAATAGCCCTTCCCTTTACACCTACTGAAAATGTATTTGTAGAACACAGTTTTAGAATTACTTAAAATGACTCCTCTCCCTAGCAATTTGGTTATAGTATTCAGTTATAGGAGGCCCTATAATATGCCTGAAGACACAAAGGGATAATTTTAGGCTTCTTTTTCCCATTCATTCATTTCCTTTCTTAAACTACAATCTGCTAAGCTTTGGCTCTTTGGCCTGCCTATGTTTCTCTCCAGTCCCAGTGATCATGCACATCACTCTGTGCCTTTAAGTCCCCTAGATCTTTCTGTCTGCAATGCTCTTCCTATGCTGTGAATCCTTTCTTGGTACATTAACACAGGTGTTACTCACTTTAAGTGTCCTCTTCTGTGCTACGAGAACTCCTTGGATGTACAATTTCAGCCTAGGGTCTAAAAGGGATCTGGTAACCACTGGTTCACTTGGCTGTATCATCCACTACACTGTAATTTTTTTTAAACGAAGCCAAGGACCATTCCTTCATATCACTAGCACCAGGCCATATAGCTAACAGTCTATAAATCATATTCAATGAAGTAATATAATACATAATACAATGGGGGGATGGAAAACTCTCTCCCTTCAAGGAGGTAGATTATGAGAGTGAAGGAAAGGATCTTCTAGGTGCTAGAAATATTTGGAATGGATAGCTACTGCATAAATAAAAACACTGACATTCTTTGCACTTAATATGCCTGCCCTCAAACAGGTGAGTGACCAATATTCTATCTGGACCAGCCTCCCCACTAGATTCTGCTTCCCCAAGGCACACTCTGCCACCCAACCCCACCTACCTCATTATCTTCCCCATGGCCAGTCCTTTCCTGCAACTCCAGCAGACTCCAAAGGCATAGGTATAGCCTACACCAGCCAGGAGAACAGTGAACGACA